CTAATATTGAACTCCTATATTAGAAACATAGCTTTATTAAAACGTATTTTTCAAATAAGTTTATTGACTTGCAAATACTATCATGGAATATTTAATTATCTAACTTACACAAACAATGGAATCCGAACATAATGAAGGCGACTACAGATTCTAGAAATAGGAACTTACACATATTTATTTTTAGTTAAAAATAATGTTATTGTATTTTGTTGCATTTTTCACATCAAAGAAACAATTTTCACACAAAAGCAATTAAAAATCATTTCAGTAAAAAGATACAAATATGATGAAAATTTTTATTGTTATAAAACATTGCCTCTTACTGAGAAGACTCACCTCTCCATATTAGGGACTTCGTATCCCCAATATGGAAAGATTTGTTATTAATTTAACGATACGCGATAACGCAATGATGACGACGAATAGAAATCCCATCTAACATAACATACCATTTAATTATCATGTACATATTACATATTACATTAAATCTACGGCCTACTGAATCTATGTGTTACTAAAAAAAAATTCCTCATATCAAATCTTTTACTTACATTCCCTGTATAAGAGACTTCCCCTACTTTAATGGTTACCGACACGTTCCTAATTCCTGTGATTTTTCACGTATAAAAACAAATGATCATACTGCATCAATCACAACATTCGTGGATTGATAAAAATTTTGGTACTTGCCATATTGAGAACTTTCTCTATATTAGGCGCCTCCTCTATTCTTTTTGAATGATTGGTTCAGCGATTGAATTGATGGTTCGCAACTCATTATTTGCTAAACAGCTCTCTCTCTCTCTCTCTCTCTCTCTCTCTCTCTCTCTCTCTCTCTCTCTCTCTCTCTCTCTTTCTATTGAACTGTGACGATCACAATCGAATGTTTTTTTCTCTAGTCGTTGCTACATTTATATGTAGATTTTTTTTTTTATTTCGTTAAGAAATACATTACAATCAATCCTCATTGAGGATTATAAATAAGTAGGCTAGTGTGAGTCAATGGCATGCAAAGTAGTTACTACTACCCTCTGTCGATTAATGAGATACATAGGTTCGGATGTTTATATAAATCTATAGTGAAGATCCAGGTAGGGTAGTATCTTTTTAGTCTTCTTAGATGTACTGTAAAATCCAAAAGTTGAGTGACCAAAGGGTTAGGGTGGTTATTCACGCGTGAGTTGTATCTGTTGCCGTGTTTTGATATTTCCTCCCCGAGATCACGGTGGATTGTTTCGTTTGTTACATACCAAGGTGCATTTGTGATTATTCTTGCTGTTTCTGATTGGAAGTATTTCGATGTTGAAGTTGCTCGCTGTACCCCAAATTCCGTAGGTCCAGATAGGTTTCAAAATGACTTTGTAGAGTAGTAATTGTAGTAATAATTTATTTTCCAGGCTTAGATTTGATCAGGTCTACCCAAGAGCCAGTAATATTGTTTAACTATTAATTCCAGTTGGTTACATTTAGCTTTGATATGCTGCTTCCACGTTAATCTTCTGTCGAGGTGCAATCCCAGGTATTTAACCGAATCTTTGGTCGGAATTATTGAGTTGTTACAAGTCACGGCTGGGCAATCTTGTCTTCGTAGAGTAAATGTGATGTGCGCTGATTTATTTTCGTTTACTTTAAATCGCCATTTTTTAAGAAACCATTCTTTCAAGGTGTCAAGGCTTTGTTGAAGAGATGTAGATGCTATTTGCGGATCTCCATAATAGAACTGTATCATCCGCGAATGTTGCAGTGATTATCTCTGATGGTGTAGGTAGATCGGCTGGGGAATACAGGGAATACAAGAAGGGTCCAAGGACACTGCCTTACGGAACCCCAGAGTTAATTGAAAAGGTTAACGAATTAGTGTCTAGACACCTTACACTGAAGGTTCTGTTACTGAAGGTATGATTGAAGTATGGAGTAGTAAGTATGAGATAGGATGTTTTTGAGTTTGTACAGTAGTCCAGCGTGCCATGCCTTATCAAACGCCTGTTGGATGTCTAAGAACACTGCGGAACAGTATTTTTTCTTTTCTAAATCTTGACTGATTTCATATACTATTCGGTGGACTTGTTCTATTGTTGAATGCCGCTTACGAAAGCCAAACTGGTGGTCAGGAATAACCTTCAATTCTTCTAATATGGAATGGAAGCGTTTGATGAGTAATTTTTCGAATAATTTAGAAATGTTTGGTAGTAAACTGATTGGAAGATATGAATTTGCATCGTGGATCGGCTCTCCTGGCTTACGGATAAAGGTAATGATTGATAGTTTCCAAGGCATTTTGAGTAATACCCTGAACGAAGAAGGATCGCATTAAATATTGATATGAGGAATGCAATTCCTTTTTTGGGGAACTCTTTGATTTGTTAGTTTTTTTAGTTAGTCTGTTGTGCCCCAGTGCATTTTTGGAATTGAGAAGCTGAACCAATATCTCTCACCTCTGCGGCTGTAAAATGTATGACTGGGAGGAAGGGACATCTGGAAATGGGATTATAGGTAATCCATGATTTCTGCTTCTTCTAAGTTGGACAATGGACAATGAGGTTTAAATACTTCAGTTAGGTCGAGAGCAAACATATTAGCCTTGTCTGTAGGACTACGTGCCCATCCTCCTTGCGTAGTGCGAATGGGAGGAATTGTTTGGCGTGGGCGAGTGATTTACGTTTTTCTATAATTTTTCTCTTTATGTAGTCCAGGGTTGATTTCTTATGGATTCCTTATGGATTAGATGAAGAGAAACGGATCGCATTTATTATGTTGCTGAAACAATCCACTGCAGCGTCAATATCATTCTCTATTACATAAATTCGTGCCAGTTTGTAAGTTGTCCGTTTGGCCGGTTTTCAATAATCAATCGATGAATTAATAATTACAATGTATGATCTGAGGAGACTTCTAGCGAAGAGCTGATTTTTGTGCAACTTGGAGAGATATTTTTAATCACAAAAAAATCCAGCAGATCGGGTAGTTTGTTTGGGTCGGTTGGCCAATATGTGGGTTCATTTGATGAATTTAAATAATTGAGTTTGTTAGAGTTCAAGCTGTTTAAGAAGTTCCTACCTCTTGTAGCGATGATTCTGTTTCCCCATTGTGGATGTTTGGCATTAAAGTCGCCGCCTGCGATGAATCTTCCTCCTAAGCTTTCGAAGAAGTGGTCAAAATTGTCTTTGGCGAGAATGTGTTTAGGGGGGACAGTATACTGCAGACAGCGTAACTGGACTATGCCAGTCTTCTAAGCCACATTCGTTGCTTAGAGGTAATCTGACTCGAACGATGGGAGCTCATAGTGTTTCACAGTGGATTTGATGATAATTGCAGAGCCCTCTTGGGCTCTTCCACTAGGATGTTGTGTATGATAGAGTTTGGTTTTTATTGATTAGCTTGTATATATGTATTCGTTCCTGTTGATGACTTTCTCCAAGGAGTTTGTCATTGTTTGAATGTCAATAATGTCGTCAAGATTTATTGGTGAAAGCGCGGGTTCTTTGGTCGGATTCGGATTTGTTGTCAGTTCGACGACATCCATAGAATCATCGATGGAATCTAATAATGTAAATCTATTCATGGTATTAACAGAGCTCGTCGATGATATGTATGCGGCTGTGTTTATATCTCCATCTCTATCTAGCCTACGTTTCTTATTGTTGTTATTGTCACGTCTTATCTGTAGCGACAATCCAGCGAGCTGCCACGGAGGGAGAAAACTATTGCGGTTTGGATTAGAATCGCTTGCAATTGGAGATTTTTCTTGAGCCATCTTCAATATAGATTTCCGATTTCGGAAAATCTAATCGAGAGACACTATGTTGAATGCGGACCAGTAATGCGATTCTTCACTAGGTTTATTTTATTTATGTTACGCTATGTCACGATTTCGGGAAACGTGAAGTCACTGCGTTTCTAAGAGAAACTTCACTGAGCACAATCACACACGTCAGCATGCTATGGCAACCAAGTGTTAACATTATTTATGTAGATGTATATTACTTACGCACATTAACTGACGTTGAAGGTTGTACAAGTATACATATGTATGTAATTAATACGTCAATTCGAATTGATATATAAATGTATAATTATTTGATTTTTTAAATATGAACGTGTATCCACGTTACATTATTAATGAAGGATATCAACATTGATTGTTATCATTGTGAGTGAATTAAATAAAATACACACTCTTAATATGTTTAATATATTGAATAATGTATATAATAACTATCGCTTGTGAATTCACTATCTCACAGATCAATATCACTTCTCTGCTCGCTTCTCAACAAAAACGCATCACCGTAACACACTCGCAATTGTCTCGCAAGACTCATGCCTTCGCTCGACTCTCATGCTCGATCCTCACACGTATAATATAAAACCAAATCCACAATTATTCTTAACAATAGAAGTAATGATTGTCATATATTATTCTTAACGATAGAACTAATGATTGTTATATATTATTCATTTACTGAGGCAAAATACGAATGAATTTCAGTACAGTGATAAATTTTATTTTTTGTCAATGGACAGAAATTTTGAAATGTGAAAATATTAGTTCCATAATTTCGTATTTAGTATTAATTATTTAATGAATTAATATTAACTTAATTTAAATAATAGTAGGATTAAATAGCTGTTAGATATTAATTAAATTTAATTAATTTAATGAATGAAATAAAACTAGATACTTAAATGTCACCCAACTATTTCGTATTTTTCTTTATAATTTCTTAATAAAACGAAACTTGAGATCAAAAGACATTAAATTTTTTTGCTTGCGTCATATTTTACTCTGTGAACTTCTTTAAATTAAGAAATGACAAATAATCGAAAGTTGACAAATCTGACGTTTAGAAGTCACGATTGAATAATTTTATAGTTTACTTCCAGTCAAAAGAAAAACATTTTGCTAAATCGAGCATATTTTAATACACTTTACATAAATCCATGCTAATTAGTACGTCAGGAGTGGGATACCGAAGAATGGTCATGCTGCAAACGACTATTATTCAACTATTTCGTTATTCAGTCACATGTACGAGAGGAAGCAACATTTCACGAAATTTAGATCCAGGAACTATCTACACAGAAACTCAAACTTATATTGAATTGGTTGAAAGTAGTGATTGGTTGAAGGAATAATATACAGGTACTCTATTTTTTAACAAACATATGAACTAAATTAAAATTAATAATTTATTGTAGTGAAATAATTATAAGATACAAAAATTCCCATTTTGGGGGAGGGAGTTAATTATTTATAGTTGGAAATTAATTATTAATAAAATTACTAACATATAATGCAAATCATTCATCTCTAACATCATTTACAGTTAAAATAGCACCCAAAAAGAAGTGAAACATTGACAGACTTGCGATGTTTATAAGAATCTTCTACTGTTGTTGAAATGTTACACTTTTTATACGTTTATACGTTTTTACACAAATTGATATCTTCAAGAACATAATTGAATATAAGATTGTGTATTATAATATGAAAAACGACAAGATCTTCCTTTTTATATTCATCACTATCTTCGTCTTTCATATAATAGATTTTACAAAATTAAAAATAAAGTATCTCTTAAATTGATAATTTTTCGATATACTTTTTTTTATAGAGGATATTGAGCTATTGAGTCGATTAATTAATCAATCAAAAATATATCATTTGATATAAAAAAGTGACGGTTATCTCAAAATTTCCGAAATGTTTCCATCTAAAAAAAAAAAAAAAAAAAAGAATACATTTATTACAAAATTTGCTGTTTCAAACCATGCATAAAAAATTTTTTCATACAACATATACTTTAGGAGAAGTTACACAAACCACTTTGTATATGTATTTGATATACAATTATATAAATAATGTAATAATATATAATTACATATAAATAATTATATTATATCATATAAAGTTATATTAAATAATTATATTATATCATATAAAATTATGTTATTTGTATATAATATAATAACGACTTGTGGACAACCGACTGGAAAGTAATTCTGCATGTAAAAATGAATTGAAAAAAGAAAGAAAATTTTTTGTTCGAGACTTTGTTTTCGAGAAAATCGACTTTAAGTATTTTTTAAGTTTAAATTAAATTAATTTTCTTACTGCACAGTAGTAAATATATTACGTGAGAAAATAATGTAAGCAAATTACAAAGCAACTTTATGCATTTATGCAAATGTTTCATTAATTAAATATTCAAAATTAAGTAAAGTGAAAGTTATAATTGAAGTAAAATGACATATAACTTTATGTATTTCATTGACGTCGTCTATATTAAATTCTTCGAGTGTTAAGAAAAATCTTATCTCAGATTTCAATGATGAAAATACACTAGTATGTATAAGTATTTGGACACTTTTAAATTATTACAATATAAAGTACAATTTAAACTTCTTTAATTTAATCTTAATACATGTAGTTAATAGAGGAAAAGAATAATATGAATAATGTAATTATAATAATGAGTTCCTAGTATGAATATGAATAAACTGCATCGAAAATAACATTATTCATATGAAATTAATTATTACAATGCAAAATGGTTATACAATTCATTTCAAAGTTTTAAATCGAAATATCTTGTTAATCAGACATTTTCGAGAGAAATGTTAAATTGCACAAGTTTAACGATTTTAGGGGAGGAATACATATAACATAAGTATCCTATTAATTTTTTTATTTATGAAACTTCAAATAGATGTTTTTCTTGGCTATTCTTATTCTATGCAAAGGGAAAAAGAAGGAACTTCAATTTCGGTCATTTTTTTTTTTTTTTTTAAATTTCGAACACCATTTAAAGGAAAGAGAATTTATTTTAATTTTGCTATTCTTACACTAAAGAATGAATAATTAATTCTTTTATTCGTTACTATCAGATATAAAATATTATCAATAATACTTGCATCCTTCTACTTGTTTTACTACAAAAATAATCTTAATTATTTTATTTTTAATAGATTGGCAGCTGTGTGCTTTTCGGTCTACGATCAGATAAAAGATATTTCAAAATGGACGTACAAGTGGATCATGTACATATTACGCAACCTAGTTACTTTTATGTAACCGATTTCGAAAAGAATTTTAACTACAAAGATGGTCACAAGTGGATGAAGGATAATTATATAATCCCTTTCTATTGCTGTGCTCTTTACCTTGTGCTAATTTTTGGTGGGCGTTATTACATGTCGAATAGACCAAAGTTCGAATTAAGAGGACTGCTTGCTATTTGGAGTGGATCTCTCGCAATATTATCTATTATTTGTTTTGTTAGAACGCTACCGGAAGTTTATAACATATTAAGCAATCATGGATTCTACCACAGTATTTGTACAGCTAGGTAATTTCACTTCCATATCTTATTCTTGAAAATAATATTTGTTTCAGTATTCAGTCCATCCTTATATTAGACATTTAAAGAATTGAAGCGTTATTCGAGTAAAAAATAGATTTCGAATATTGTTTTTATTACAATAACTCTCATTCGTCCCTTATGCAAATTTGGGAAAAAATTTTTTTTTTTTAAATGTTACATTATTTTGCAGCGTAAGTATAAACACAGAGGTGAAGTTCTGTAACATTCATTTTTCTGTGTGTGTGTGTGTGTGTGCAATATTCGTGATACAATTTTCTTCGTTGCAACAAAATTGCAAAGTTTGTATTGTGTAATAGTTGCAACTCACTACCTTCTAATTATTATACAACAATTATTCATTCAGTGTTCTAGTTCTTTGAAAATATATGGTTATTTATGTGCATTTGTTTTGAATTTGTAGCTGCAGTAAATAAAAATCCAAGAAAACGATCATAATATTAGATAAAACTTGTAAATGTTACATGTAGTGATAAAATGTCGATGTAAAATTGAACAGCTGTACGTAAAAGTAGAATTTCTATACGAATCATATACATAATTAAATAGTAATTTACTGCCATTTATTGCTAATAAAAGAATTTGTAAAGTTAACTATTTAATAAAATTTCAAATTGAAAAGATAAGGGAAGACTAAGGACATTAATCATAAAACAACACTGCATTTATCGATTGTTTGTTTGTCTACATTATATAATATATTTTCTTTTTTCCCGGCATTACAGAAGCATAATCTACGAGCGAAAAATATGTTATATGTGTGAAGTAAATTCGTAAACGTTTTGTTACAAAGTTATAAGCAAATTTTGAACATAGCTTGAATCTATGCGTAGTAACAAATACAAAATTTAATAACTCTATGTTTCTTGCTTTCCATTTTTGAACAATTCTAAAACAAGATGTACAGTACAGTAGTAGATATAAAAGCGAAGAATTAATTTAACGAATTAATAATAAAGTAGTTGGGATGTAGCGAATTACTCAAGAAACTCAGAATGTAATAAATTTCAAGTTACATCGATGTTAAACTTGCCGATATAGAGAGTGGTCATATTGAAATTAAAATTTAAGAATTTTTAACGATTTTCGTGCTTTAAATAATATCTTCTAAGTATAGACGTGTGTTCAATACTTGCTCAATACAATTTTGTAACAAAGCTTTTGTAAGTAAATCTCATATAATATTTCTTCTTATTTTATTAACTATGCCTTTATAATCTTGTCGGAGAAGCAGAAAATACAATATACAACTTTATTTGTTTTAATTCGTATTTGCGACCTTGTTACTCTATGAAGTTTACATCATATAACAATTTTCTCAACTAAGGTAATGATTATTGTTTAGTCAAATCCACATATATAGGGTGTTACAAAATATGTAAACTATATGTTCATAATCACGATTATGAATGTCAAGCATTAAAAATATATAATATGAATGCTATTTAAAAATATAATTTCTTGGATTTTTGTTTTCGCTTTTTGCACAAGAATTTCTTAACAAGAAAAGTACAAGAAACAATACGTTAATATCGTAGCTAAAACAGTTACAAAAGTGTAACAGATATTTATTGGTCATCATATCTTTTGAAATGTTTTAAAATCACTCTCAATTTTGAGAAGAGTATTTCCTACAATGACAAAAGGAATAAAAACAATTGTAATGATTTATGCTACTAAAACGTTCCTCATAAAGTAAATAACTTTGACGAATATAAAGTAATTATAATTATTGATCAACGAAACAATCATTTTCTTTCACCAATGTGGAAAACGACAGAACTTTCTATGGGACCTGATATAGACAACAAATAATAATTAAAATTATAATCATATGAAAATTTCTATAAATAATGCCTAATGTTGTTTACACATGACACCGTGATACCATACGCCATCGATTTGCCGACTATTCCAACAAAATACGTAATACTTTGTCACTAGAAACAAACGTTTTGCTAACACTCTGTATATTGTGACATATGTATATTAGAACGATTTTGATCTACTAACAATGTTGGATTCCATGTAATTTAGAAGAGTTTATTCCTTGTTACAGTCGTGGTCGTGTATGAAATAGTACGATTTAGAATGTTCTTGTACAATATAGAATATAATATAGAATGTCTTTATAATGATGTAGAAAGATCTAATGATGTAGAATACTCTTAATGATGTAAAATGTCTAGAATACTTTGCTATGAATGTCTAATGCTATCGAATGTCTCTAAAGCATGTCCTTATATATATATATATATATATATATATATATATATATATATATATTTGGTTATCATCGTCAAGTAAAAGGGGAAGGAGCATAGATGACTCAACATCTATTGGATCTTGCCCTTATAACTAACTATTCACAGTCCACTTTTATATGGACTGTTGCTAGCTCATTGTCAGTATTTGCATAGATTCAATATTGCCCGGATTCGGTCATCCAACAATAATAAGCTTATTAACAAGTGCAATTTTTTACTAATCGCAAATTTTTGCTTTTAAAGAAATAAGTATTTCTTTCAATATATTTCTATAATTTAAAATAATAACAAACAGTATTTTATCGATTATTTTTGAAATATAAAACAAGTTTATTATATCGAAGAAATCGATCATATCTCTAATGCTGATATAGATGTCATAGTTTTTAAAGTACGTAATAATATTTCGGACGTATAATATTAAATCATAATAAAAACAATTGCCTTCTTTGCAGCACTGCATATGATCCTGTTAACTGTCTTTGGTTATGGTTGTTTTGCTTATTGAAAGTGCCAGAATTAGGCGACACATTCTTCATTGTGTTACGGAAGCAACCATTGATATTTCTACATTGGTACCACCACGTGACAGTTCTCCTTTATACATGGTACTCTTGCGTAGAAATCTCAGGATACTCCAGGTGGTTTGTCGTAGTAAACAGTTTCATTCATTCTTGGATGTACTCTTATTATGCTTTGAAAGCAATGGGATTCAAACTACCAAAATGGCTCGCCATGACAATTACTACACTACAGATAGCGCAAATGTTTTGGGGTATACTTGTAACTGTATCGGCGTATTATTACGCGTATATTGCTCAAGTTCAGTGCAACGTTCCGGTTAAAAATCTCACATTTACTACGTTAATGTACCTCAGCTATCTTATCTTATTCATCAATTTTTTCAAACAAACTTATTTTTCTAACAAACGTGCAAACAAAGTCGGAAGGAAAAGTCGAACTAAGACTGAGTGAAATATGTAAAAGCTAGTACTACTTTGTGAAAATATATTTTGTCGAGATCTCTTGCCGCTGGTTGTTTTCTACAGAAAAAAAAAAAAAAAAGAAAAAAATAGTTGACTCATATGTGTCGGAAACTTATTAATTCAAGAGATGTTCTAACTTTAATTTTTAATATCTATCGCATAAAAAATAAGGACAATATCAATACAAAAATATCGATCCTGTCAAAAAATTAGAGTTAATAATTTTACACACACGCGCACGCACGTAAATTTTTTACAATGCGTTACAAAATACATTTAAATCTCTATACGTCTATTTACAAGATTTAGATTGTTGTTTCCCACGTTGTTCAATTCCATAAACTGAAATGTACAAAGAAATTACAATTATAAACATTATTCTTAAAAATTTGCCTTAAAATTCACAATTATTTATACTGTTTTCCTATAATAGACAAATTCGTGAAAATACTATTGTCTATGTTGATTTCTATTATCATTATCTATCATTTTCTCTTTATGACAAATTTAATCTTATAAATCAGCGTGACGGGAATCGAATTTAACAACAAAATTAATAAATCTAAAATGTGCATTATCCAACTACTTATAATTTCTGTCTCTGTTTCCAATCGTTTCGTTCTCAATTCTTTGTCTTTATTTTAAGTTTCTATTATTCTTCTGTTCTTAAGGATATATTCTGTGAGTAAGTAAATAAATAAATGAACGAATGAATGAATTTTGTAAAATCTTGTAAAAGACAAGGAAAGATAAATGCCATCTAGAATTCACATTGTCCTTGTGTTTCATGCAATAAGTTTTATAAAATTAAAAATAAAGTATCTGCTAAACTAATACTTTATTTATATATATTGTAGTTATCGGTTATTATAATTAGGTGTAGGTAATTATAATTTTAGTTATGTTTAATTATATAAACCAGATGGCCTGTTTGTTGATAGAAATACGATAAAATATGAATGTAATGCAAGAAGCATAATGTAGGCATGGAACGTTTTTTTTTTGTAAAAAGCAGAGTCGAGCGAGTTGAAGAACCTTGAGAGTCGAGAGAGTCGTGAGAGGGCATTCAGAAAGAACCGTTAAAAGTGTCAATTGTGTTATTAAAAGTGTTTATTTGATTTGTTAATTCGTGTTGCTTGAATGTTATTTGCTTTGTTTAACTGTTTGTTGTTCTATCATCATTACTTTTGTAGGCAATAATTTCACAAATAGAATTTTCGTCAACAACAAAGCGTGTATTTCCTTGATAAAACGGAAGACTGGTTCGGACGTGCGATCTTGACGACGTTCTCCCGACAGAGTGTCGCCTGGCTTCGTGTCCTCGTTCGGGTATCCTCCTCGGTCCAACCCTCGTCCGGATACCCTAGCTCGGTTTACAGGCGTCGGTCATAAACATTGGAATCGGCCCGTGGTCCTTAATCTCGAGTGGTCTCTTCTACCGAATAGCCAAGGAAGTCTTCCCACGCCTACGGGCGGCGTGGCTAACATTTGCTTACACTTTTATTAAATAAACATTATTTATATTATATCTCTAGAATATCTTTTTAGAAAGAACTTTTTATAAAGACCGAGCTGAATCGATCAAAAATCATGGATTAAAAACCGACTGATTCAAAAAATGATTTTATTGAAGTATTCGATGATATGAAATCTTTGAAATTTAGGCTGACTTTGTACTCTCCGAAAATTCTTTACTCAAAAAAAAAAATCATTATTGATATATTATGGCTATCTCTGTTTCTTATTAACGGAGATTTTCCATATCTCCAATAATATAACAAAGATATTTAAATCAATACTTTAATACTGTGGGATACTGTGGGAATTCTGAGAAAAGGCCCAGAACTTTCCCCAGTGCCCAAGAGACGATCGTCACCTGTGGAGTGCCACTTGGGATGTTGTTTAGAGTGAAGGCTATGCCTCGAAATATTTGTATAAAGTCACCCAGGCCTAGGTCTTAGAAATATTAAGGATACGAATGTGTTTGTGTGCATGAATGTGTGAGAAGAATAACGAAGCTTTGAGAAGGCATATTCCAAAGAAATTAGGAGAGAGACATCAGAGAGCAGCGAGTCGCGAGAGTATAAAGATTATAGAGAGTTTCGAATTGAGAGAGAATGCAGAGAGTGTAGCGAGTTTTAATATGAGAGCGAGTTTTAATCTGAATATTTTTCTGTTACGGCTGCATTAGAACTTTTGTTTTCTATCAAATCCCAGAAAATTCGAAACTCGTCCGGGATTCCCACAATACTTATATTATAACATGTAAACATATTTTTCAAAATTTAGGACTTGCGCGCCACTCATCAACTGAAGTGTTTATATTCGCACATTTGCGACGAAAGTGATACAATTGAAAAAATTATATTCTTCAAAAGAAACGAAAACCAGTTTTAGAACAAAATTAGAAATTTTATTAATCAAAAGAAAAAAAAAAAAAGAAGAATGATAGAGAAGAATTTTTTATCCTATTAACGCGTATTTGTTCACAATAATTATCGGTATAAAGTTCATACAATAAAGTATATCCACATAAATCAGAATTATTATTATTATTATTATTTCCAATATCTTGGAAATATGTTATTTTGTGCTATCGATCTTGGTATTTAAATTTCGTTGGGCTTCAGTATTGAGATAACTTTAGCTTTTCTCCAGTTGTTGATGAAGATTTTATGGATTCATATACAATTATACAAAAGTCTTAAGAAAAAAAGGCATTTCTTCCAGGCATTATAAGAGATGTTTAAGCAATCTATTTGATACTTTTTAGATTTATTTGAACTATCTTCTGTCAGTTTTGGTCGATCCCCGGAGAGCGTGATGCCTGTTAAAAAGTCTCCGGACAGAATCGGTGGAGCTGAAAGTTGAGCTATTATTTCTGAGCTAATTTTTCAAGGTCTTGCAAATCAAGGGGGGAAACTATTAGGAACGTAGATATCGCAGATGTGAATTCTTTTTGGGAATGAAATAGATATTGCGACGGCTTCAAAGTTTGAATTTAGAGGGATTTCAGTAGAATCATATTTGTCTGAAATTACAATGACCACTTCTCCGCTGGCGTTTTCATTTGCCCGGTTTCTGACAGTTGGATGGTACCATAGCACCGGTTGCTACGTACTCATCACTATGGATACGAGCGAAGACTGCTGGTTAGAGACACCGTGCGTGTGGCGCGTTTCTTTTTCGTCTTCGTCAGAAGTATTGCGAGGCTCATGGTGAGAAGCACGTGCGAAACATATATTGTAAATATACTCTTTGTTAATTCCATTGTAAAATATAGAATATGTATTAAACAACTTATTTAAATCCATTTGGTGAATTCCACGGAAACCTAATTCACCACATTGACGAAGGTACTGAAATGTTTTAGTGTAGGCTGGTGATTTTTTTTTTGGAGGCAGATAGAATATCACGGGTGAATTTGTTTTACGAGAATTTGAAGTTGTTCATAGTGGGTATAGTAACCGTTTATGTTCCGCTGTATTATTGTTTTCATAATGAATTATGGGGAAGCTTTGGATTTGGAATTTGTTGCGATTACGGATCTTATGAAAATTCGATGTCGGATTCAGATGAGCAGCTGAATGACGATCTTAGTGAGCAGAGTCGATGTATTCTATTTTTTATGCTTCTCTCGTTTAGGTGGGGGTAGATTTCTTAAAGAAATAAGCATAATTAATTAGCATATTTTAAACAGATATTCATGGTGAAAAGGTATACCATCACCTTTTAAAATTATAACAAATAATATACATATATCATTTAAAGTTTTTTTTTGAATCTTACATACTAAACCGCAACTAAGACTTTTTCTTAAAATGCGGTTAATTTTGCCTTTACTTTTTTTTTCCAAAACTAATACTATGTATGCTTTTCTAGAAGTAAAATAGATCTAGATTTTGAGTTGTAATAACTTTTTGAGAAAATTATTTCACTTCATGTTCCTCGTGATATTATATTACGTCAATTACGCACCAGAGGTTCGTATGACAAGATAATTGTAATTATCTATTTATTATTGCAAGCTTGACAATGCACAACATCTTTCGAGAATCACATTTGTATCAATTATTTTATTTATTCATTAATAATAATCATAAATTACTTGATACTTCTTGTTTTAGGCATTGCACGCCGGCAACGACTGTCCCAGACGCCTGAGATTATCGGAGAGTTTCCACAAACCCCTATAAAACACCCAAATCGCCGCATATCCCCCATCTCGTGTGCTTTGCGAAAGTCACTTTCCTCAACGCCCGGGCCACAAAGGAATTGAGAGTCTTGTGAGAAGAGTAAATTATGCGGTGTTTCGGGATCACGAGCCAGACTCATCAGTGAGGCTGAATGGCGGCGGCGACCTCTGCCCCAGAAGCCTTGAAGCAGCACACTGCTACAACTATTGGACTAACAGTCGAATTATACAGAACGAGGAATGAGGCGACTACCCATTCTTGACCAGTACGCAAACAGCGCTGTTTAACTTGCACGATCGCCGTTAATCCACCAGTTACTCATAGCTGTACCCGTCGTTGGGATTTATTGATATGGAACTTAAATATTAACAGCGAGACATAATACAAGGATAAATATGTAAATAACGCAAAAAAGAACGAAATATGTAAATGAATCCAATAACGGATAAAGCCAGCGGTGAAAGAAGACAGAAATGAGAGTAGGATTTAGGATCTATGCGTAAGACCTACAATGACAACAGCAGCCAAGATGTTCAGTAAACGTCACAAAATAAACAGAGTAGTGATATACTCAAGTGAAGGCCTACGTTATTTACATATTTTAATCAAAATTGAGTCACAACAGGACAAACGTCGGGACAAAACGATAGCACGCTCTAAAAATTATTAAATTTCCTTTTATTAAACAAATAGTACGGAATTTTCTTTATTCTTCCGTAGTGTGTAGTGTATTTTCCAGTTTGTATAAGTAATATAAATCAAACATTTACAATACATCTTGTGTTATTAAAAAAAATATATGATTATATTTATCGAGTCAAAGTAATAGTACATTTCGTGAAATGCAGTAGGTAGAAACAAGATAATGATGTTTAATGATTAATATGGCCTTTGCATTTAATAATGGCAACAATTCTTTGAGATAGAGATTTATATAGGTTTTAATTATTTTTGGTTTATTTCTTCCTTCTTACAATATATTTTTTTAATTTATTAATATTTGCGTTTTCCATTTCAATATACGACACTCGACAAATTCCTCCAATAATTTTCTATAATATTTAAATCCGGAGATTTGGCTAGCCATTCGAAAAAACGAATTTTTTTTTTATTTGTATGTTTTGATATTGCTTTCGTGATATGCACGACCGGTTACCATGTTGAAAAATATAAAAAAATACTTTTTCCCAACACTTCGTGTCGTATACGTGTTAATTTGGTCTTCAATCATTTCAATATGTTTTTAACTATTTAATTTTCCTATAATAAATTTTCCTACTTCCATCTTACCGTGTTAATCAATACCTCCGTAAATCAATTATACCGCTTCTATGAGTCGACGAAACAAAAGTTGTTGCTCCTTTCGAAATCATGATGACGTGTAGTGCAGTAGTAGAGATTCGTCTAAATTCAACCTTTTTTTATCGGTAAATCTGATGTAATAATCTACACACTCCTACTAGTTTACGAGATACGAGAATGTGCTATCATTTCATCTCCGGATGTAGTACGACTTTAACAATTTCTGGACATTCATTATCGTATACAGAGTACCATAATATTATATGTCGCAACAGTCAGTATCCTTACACTTTATTTAAGTGGAAATTAACGAAAATATCGAACTATCGAGATATTTGCAAAGAAGTAGTATTGTTAGCAGTACAGTGAATTGAACTATAGTCAATTAATTATGTAATGACGTGACATTAATTATGTAGAACAATTATGCGGCCGTGACAACGTCTTATTATATGGCCGTGGCATAATAAGAAGTTGGATACAATTACATTATCACATAATTCAGACCTGTTGAACTTTCTCCCCTCTGCAAGTTGTGACGCCAATTCCCCTTCTTCATTTTTTCGAAGGAAAATGCACACACAACCTAACCCAAACAACGCTCATTCGATCGAACGTTTCCTCTACTACGTTTGGTCTGCTGTCATATGCCACGGCACAGTCGATAGTACAATCGATGAAACTGATACTTTTGAAACGTGGCGCACGTCAACGAAATTGAAATGCAGCGGTAAGGCTCATGTGGTCTAATTCACCAATTCTTCTAACTCTGCTGATTAACTCTGGATGATAAAACTGATTCTTACATTGCTCCTCAGACAGATTCATGAGATTTTCGTTTTCTCTTTCAAAAAATTTCAAGGAGAGTTAAGTTGAGGAGTGGGGAACATGTTAAAAACAATCAGGAACGATGAGAACGAACTTCGGTCGAACTTATTATATTTCGATGACGATACTTGTAAATACTTTGTAATTAGTCGTACTTTTAAATTATAAATATTTTATTAAATCAATTCGTGTGTTCTTAGACAAACATGAATATTGAGAGAACAAATTACATGACACATAAATAAACAATTTCCTTGTCCTTGGTAACTTGTAATTTTATACGTCAGAAACCGATCATATCGTTCAACTGCTCGATCTGCGAAAATCGCGTCATCTTCTGCATATTAGGTAAATAATCACTTTTAATCTTAATACTGCAACATTTTATATTGTAATTTCTGCAATTATATAATTATTCAAAAATCAAAGATAGACGTACGAATCTTAAGTGTTATTTTATAAATTATAAGGAACAAAGTAAAAGGAATATCGTTTGTAACAAAATGGCAATTGTGTAAAATAAATTTTGAATGTGTAACTTCTTCAAGCGATGCAGAAAATTTTTAACATGGGTTTAGTTCACGAAATAATTATTTATGCAAGTTAAATTCGTTTCTGACTTTTTCATTTTACATGCATAGAATAACACAAATCATAGAAGTTATTAGAAATGATGTACTACGGGAAGCATATGATAATATGAATAGTAATAAAGATAATTATTATTCAAAACTTATATCAAACAGTTATACAATATTTCAAAACTCTCGATCTTATACTTAATAATTTTTTACTCAATAAATTGTTTAAAAGTCGACGACATCGAATGACAATATCCCCTTAATTCTTTTAAACTTTTGGATGTCATTGCATAAATTAAGTATAGTAGATTCACAAGTCCTTTGCTCGTTTTGATAAACTTTCTTTGATCGTGTCTACAAAAAATAATGAAGAAAATAGCAGGTAAATAATAAATAATGCATTTAGAATTGTACTATTTATGTCTCTATTCGTGCAAATATTATTCGGTCTGGAAATATGCAAATTCGAAATGATAATTCCTCAAACTCCACTTCAAAAGCAAACTATTATGCTAAATCCATGAGAACATTCTCTCATTCTTTGTAAACAAATTTATATTTACTTAAGTGCTGCCACGAGTGGGAAATATCGATCGAATAGTTTGCCATCATATAACTGTGAACGATTATTACCCAACTATTTCGTTTTTCGCATTCATTGTATATTTTTGTGGCTCTTGGATTTAGGGAATATCTGCAAAAACTCAAAAGTCGATTGATGTTCCGAAGTAGTAACATACAGGTAATCAGTATTTTGATAGTTTTCAGAAATGCAATGTCAATACAATATTTATTGTAACGACGTAAACGTAAGACGAAGAAGTTCCGTCTTACCTTTTTTTATAATATTACTATCAAATGATGCAAAGCACTCATCTCTAATGTCATTTATAGTTGAAATAATAATAATAATCAAAAACAGAGTAAATAACTGACGGTTTGATTGATAGTATGCACGATAAGAACTTTCTATTGTTGTTGATATTACAACATTTTTGGGTTTTCACGCAATCTTATTGATATTTTTACGAATGTAATTAAAATTATAAGAATATAAGCATAATATAACACAGCGTGTGTCCGAAAAATAAATTAATAAATCAAGGGGGATTATTTACGAAAAAAATGCAAGAAAGGAATATAGAATAAAAAAATTCCGAAATGAGACTTCGTTTTTTAATATTGAGTTTAAAAGTTTAACAAGTATACTTAAATTTAACTAATTTTAAACGTTTGAAGAGAAGAAGATTGTTCTATGTGCAAAAATATGTAGAAAGTGTACAATATGATTTCTTTGTAAAATGTTTCGTTTTCCAGGAAATCGAATTTGAAAATTTATCAAGAACACCTAGACTAAAAAAATTCTTAACGAAACATATTCAAAGTTCATTTTTTTGAAAATGATGCCTTGAACAAAAAAATTTCATTTCATATTTTTCACTTGTCTTTGTACATAGAATCTCCTTCTATCGATAATTCGTGCTAGTCTAGTACATAGTATTTAAATCATATATTGTAATATGCGTTTTAAAATTTATGTATACATGGCAAATATTCTAACGCAACGCTATTCTCGGAAACGAAGGCTTTAATGAAAAAGTTTTATTCCTTTCTTCCGACTCACTATTACATATGTAGATGCTCCCAATCGATTGGCCTCGAGTCGCGAAAATACGTACTGTACATAATATATGTATCTATATTATTTATACATGATTATTGTAATATAATTAAACACACAATAAGAATATAATTATAAATGTATAAAAATGTATATATTTTGAAATACAATGAATCGATAGAAAATTATTTTGCCTAATGCTATAGGAGGTGTTTGTACTAGATATTTTAAATATTTTTTCATATTATGTGCATTTTACGCAATTTTACATTTTTAAATTTCTCATACATTATTGAAAATCATCTATCTTGTCACAATTTAATAAAGGAAGAAATATGATATTACATGTGTCTGAAAATGGAGAATGGATGAATTTTCATCTGAGGAACATACAAGAGTAGTAATGTATAACATATATAATTGCGATATATTTACAAACATTATTGCAATCATTAAAAGAATTTTAAATTGTTATAGTGCTATAGGAGATGGATAAATTTTAATATTTTCTGCTTGAACTGCATAGTATGTTATGTTTTTTTGTCTTCATTCGCGTCTCACATTGTGACGACATGTCCTTCTTACTAACGTCCTCAGCGCGTGGCATTAATGAAAAAAAAAAAAAAAAAAAAACAATAGAGAGCTTTAAAGTTTCATTTAAGGTAAGATAATCGTCGTATGGCAAATTTGCAAATTTTAAAAATCATGACTGGACTATGCATCTCATGCATTCGCGAAAAGTTTATAAATATGGAAATTTCAAGGATTCGTGTATATGTAAAATATGTAAAAATACGTGAAACATTCAAAATAAAGAACTTGTTATAATATTTAATAGTGGAACTAAATTTCTGCTCAACATGTTTCTTAACTGTATTCATAAAAATTCGAAATTTCATAAAAATCCGCACTACTGAAAACGATGAGAAAAGATGAATGAATGGAATACTACATAAAATTTATTTTTAATTAGGGATACTACATAAAATTTATTCAATCATTCACCAATATTATATTCAACTATTTTAACGTATAAAATTATTGTTTTTTTAAATTTTATTTTCTATTAAAAGTAATATACTTCCATACCATTATTCACATGTTGAACATGTTACAAAATAATCTTATACATTTGTAATGGTATAGTGTCTAAAACAAATGCCAGTTTTTCATTAAATATTGATTTACATATTTATTTGATGTAGATGAGCATTTCATGAAAATATGTCGTATTATGGTCTCCGGATCATCCTTTTATGAAGTAAAATGTGTCTTCGGTTCCGATGTTGAAAATACTCATAAATATTTGAACACTTCTAAATTATTGCAATATTAAGTACAATTAATATGTATTAATTTCTTTGATTTAATCTTAACGTATACGGCTAATAAATACTGATAAGTAGATAATACTGTAATGATTATAATAATGGAGATTCTGCAAAGTGATTTCAATTGTATCAGTCCATTGTTGAAATTTTAAAAATTACACTGAAACAATTTATACAGATTTCACGGAGCAGTATTACAATTATTTCTACAATGGCAATTCTATCACACACATCATAAGTTTTTCGTTCTTAAGTTTTTTTGAAGTTGACGTGCAATGCACACCGATAGTCAGTTATCTCAAAAGCGATTTATGGACTGAGATTATTTTTTAAAACAATACGTCGTAAGAGGGCGAACAATACGCTAACGCTATCCATACAGATACATATTTATTGGAATTTGCTCAATTCTTAATACAATTCTTTATAACATGTAATATAATATATTATAATATAATTAAAAACCCAGAAAATGAAAATAATAAATTTATTGAAGCTCTAATTAATCGTTAATTTTTTAACTCTAGTCAATAGAGGATCGAAGTAAAATCTGTGTCGAGAAGTTTGAGCAGCGGGAATTGCTTTTATGGACTTCATTTCAAGTTTTTTCAACCAAGCCTGTCGAATTGACGAGCCAACCGTTGAATTATATCTATTTTATGCAATAAAAGAAAGATCATCTCTCCATATCTACTTTATTTTGTTGTTTCTTTCTCCTCCGGACGCTGCACAAGCACCATCTTTATCCGCTTTTTGTAACAAAAATTACATATCAACTTTTTTAAATATTAAAATATGATAAAATAATACAGGAATATATAATAAGTTATTATAGTCAATTATTAAGACCCTAGTCATAACTTATGAAAAACTGAATTATGAGTTACGAAAATGCATCGCTGCTAATACATATATGAAAAGAGATTATAGAAAATTATTTTTCTATAAAGTGACAAAGTTAAAAAATTAGAATCCAATATATGTGTGACAGTTTGTATGTAGTAAACGGTAGAAATATCGATTAGGGTCTGGAGGGAAAGAAAAAGGGTACGTAACCTGTCCATTATGATCGCACACTCTCCCTTTAACAATGGAAATATTTCCTTTCTTTCTATTCGTTAGATTAGATTGTTGGTGAGTAATATCGTGTTATAGAATAAAGATAGATCTGTTGTAGGTAAGCAGGTTCCTAATCAACGAGACATATTAAATGCTAATTAACTTTTAATTTGTTTTTTATTAAAGTCGTTTTAAAATCGTATTACTCACTTATAATATTAAACTATATTTTTTTCTACAGAATAAATAAATAAATATATGGGTATAAATATATTGAAAGTGCATAGAAATATGTACTTGAAATTAGATTAATTTATTTTATCGACATGTCTAACAATTAGTTTTGTCACTTTTTGGCATTCCGCGTGACTTCTCCGAATGAACTTGTAGTAATAAGATTAGTTTTAAGTAAACTAATATTTAAAATATATTTTCTTAGTAATTAAATTATACTAGTAAATGATAGAAACGCTGATAGATGATGCCGTCGCTGGGAAGACAGCAGCTCACGCAGGTTACAGTAAAAATTGCTAAAAGAAAGGTGATCGCACAGAGTAGTCTTTAGACTCCCGATTGGGAGAGCTAGCGTGGTCTTTGACTTGAAAGAAGAAGTCC